CAAAAGTGAAATGTTCCACAGCTCTGTTCATTATAATCGTGACTGGCATCATATCTTTTTACTAGGAGGGTCAAGTTTTGGAGTTTTCGCTGATCAACAGTATACGTGATGCCAGTGCTCTAAAGGTAAAATAACATCAAACTTTACTTTACTTACCTAATATTAAGACATTAAAGACGAATTAATGATTGAATGAATGAATAAATGAATGAATGAAGGAAGGAAGGAAGTAAGAAAAGAAGGAAGGAAGGAAGGAAGGAAGGAAGGAAGGAAGGAATTAGCGCTGGGCAAAAACTTATGGGTACTTTGTATATTTATTATGTATAAAAATAAGTACACACATGCATGCATATATTTGCAAAAGTATTTATATTTCAAGAGTTCACATGCTTCATAATAACAGCAGGTTTGGCATGCTGAGAGAACCCTGAGCTCGGAGATAATTGAGCCCAGGGCTCCCGCCTGGTCAATGAGCATGTAAGGGGGTCCAACATCAGGTAGGTCTCAAGAGCTCCCCCTGGTAAAGGAGGAAAAGGGGGAGATATGGTGGATGGGGAGATTATTCCAAAACGAAGGTAAAAGAGTAATGCTAGACGGGCTATTTATTGTAGGTTTGGAATAATCTGATTGGCTTACTAATAATTACAGATGAGATACCAGCCACAAGCGTAGCACACCTGTCTTTGGGAATGTATGCCCATTCCTCTTTGCAGTACCTTTTAAGCTCTATCAGGTTGGAAGGGAAGCGATGGTGTACAGCCAGATCTCTCCAGAGATGCTCAATAGGATTTAGGCCTGGACTCTGGCTGGGCCACTCAAGAACATTCACAGAGTTGTGTGAAGCCACTCCATTGATATTTTGGCGGTGTGCTTTGGGTCATTGTCCTGCTGGAAGATGAACCGTCACCCCTGTCTGAGGTCAAGAGCACTCCGAAGCAGGTTTTCATTCAGGATGTCTCTGTACATTGCTGCATTCATCTTTCCCTCTATCCTGACTAGTCTTCCAGTTCCTGCTGCTGAAACACATCCCCACAGCATGATGCTGCCACCACCATGCTTCACTGTAGGGATGGTGTTAGCTTCACGGCAAAGGCTGTGAATACTGATGTACATGTGATTTTTCAGCTTTTTTATTTTTAATAAATTTGCAGCAATTTCAAAAACTCTTTTTTATATTGTCATTATGAGGTATTGTGTGTAGAAATTTGAGGAAATAAATGAATTGAATCCATTTTTGAATAAGGCGTTAACATAAAAAAGTGGAAAAGGTGAAGCGCTATCAACACTTTCCGCATGCACTGTATACATGTGTGTGTGTGTGTGTGTTATGTCAAAACAAACTTTTATTTTGGATGAGATTAATTGTGATTTAATGTTTTCCTAGCACACAAATAAATAATTTAAAAAAAATCAATAAATAAATAAACATTATAATAAGTGCATCTCTTACATTATTCATATTGAATTCCAGCATGTTTGTGTTGCATATCTTGTTTTGTACATCAAGCAAAACTGCACATTAGTAATATCAGTTGTGTTTGTGATTGATTTGAGGGCATGTATTTGTGTTTCCGCAGGACCCAAAGGTTCTCTGTGCACTGGAGGCTTCAGGAAAGTGTGAAAGTAACCTGGAGGACAGAATCATCTGCATATGCAGCGGCACAGATCTGGTCAACCTGAGCTTCATGTACATGGTCACACAAAACCCCACAACTGCTAAGGTAACACTGCCATTCTCAGAGCTCTGGAGGAAAACGTGCAACCATCATTGCTTTTGATTGATCTGTTCGTTCAAATAGTTTTTTTTTTTTTTTTGTTGTTTTTTTAAATATGCAGTTTTGTTGTATAACTATAAACTATACATTTTATTGGTCTTAAATGGGCTTAGAATTTGACACCACAAATGCACAAAGCATACACACACACATGCATATGCACGAGTATACACGCACAGTTGAAGTCAGAATTATTAGCCCCCCCCGTTTATTTTTTTCCCCAATTTCTGTTTAGTGGAGAGAAGCTTTCTTCAACACATTTCTGCTCATAATAGTTTTAATAACTCATTTCTAATAACTGGTTTATTTTATCTTTTCCATGATGACAGTAAATAATATTAGACTAGATATTCTTCAAGACATTTCTATACAGCTTAAAGTGAAATTTAAAAGCTTAACCAGGTTAATTAGGTGAACTAGGCAGGTTAGGGTAATTAGGCAAGTTATTGTATAATGATGTTTTGTTCTGTAGACTATTGAAAAAAATTATAGTTTAAAAAGGCTAAAAGTTTTGTTCTTAAAATGGTGTTTAAAAAATTTAAAACTGCTTTTATACTAGCCAAAATAAAACAAATAAGACTTTCTCCAGAAGAAAAAATATTATCTGACATACTGTGAAAGTTTCCTTACTCTGTTAAACATCATTTGGGAAATATGTGAAAAAGAAAAAAAAAATCAAAAGGGGGCTAATAATTCTGACTTCAACTGTATATGATACAAATTTC